TTCCATTCTGACTTCCTGTTACTTGGAATAATATTTCTGAATTTGTCATGACCAAGAACCCAAAATTTTAGACAGGTAAAAACAAGGCACTCAATTATTTATTTTATATATATGTATTTTTCTAAAGTTCAGAATATTCTTTCAGTTTAAAATTACATTTTAGAGGATTAAATATTTCCTAATAAGAGTATTTTCATGCAAGAAGAAAACTGCCCTACTGTCTGCCTGCGTTAGATCTCCCCTGAAGCACTAAGCACATGCTGCGTGCCAGTGGGGCTGATGAACTTATGAGAAGCAGAGGCTTTTCTGGAAGCAGTCCTTACCCTTGGACTCAGATAGAGGAATGTGGCAGCCCTGCCAGGCATCACAGGGGTCACGCAGGGACCCAGGGGGGCTCATGTTGTGCAATACATGACTGAATATCAGCAAAAAGAATATCAGCAGGTAAGAAAGGATAATTTCTTTAAGTACTTCAGGTGCCTTCCAAAGAAAAAGATAATTTTAAAAGTAAGAAATTATTTTTCCTTTTTTTTCTTCTTTTTTTGCAACTGTATGTACAAAATGACATGTATATTTTATGGATTTTGTTTTACACAGCGTAGGTCTCAACCAAAGAGGTTCAAGGTATGTCATTCAAACTGCTTGCTTAACAACTTGCAGGAATTATAATTTATTTCTCAAGAACCATGATATTATGTTCTTCTAACAGTCTTATATTGTTAATTTATCTAATAGTGGTTAAACTTAAACATTTGCACTGTTTTTTTTGACTAGCTGTTGGAAGAGTTGCAGTAATCTAATATTATCTGTTATTATTTTTGCCAAAGACTTAAAATTTGAAGTTAAAATTTAAAATTTCAACTGTAGTTGCCTGAATTTCCACATGCATACAAAATTCTGCTTGGATTTGAAAACTTTTGTATCAGAACACACTAGTTTTGTGTGTATAATATACAAGTATGACCTTCATAATTCATACTCCCTCATAGATGAACTGTTGCTCTTCCTGATGTGGCAGTGCAACCTTAAAATAATTATTTTAATTACTAACCTGCTAAATGCTAAATAGTCACCCCAATCCAAGAAATAATGTATAGATTTAGTTAATTACTGAAGTTTGGGTAATTTAGAGCTGTTGAGTATACTCAAACTTGTACAAGTAATCAAGTTACTTCTTAGTATTGTTCTAAGGGAAAATAGTGGAAAAAGCTATGAAAATTTCTAACAAATAGAATTTATATGATGTATCATCATAGTATTATTGTATTCAACATATACTGATAGTAAGAATAAAAGCTTAATTTTTTTCTGGTGCATGAAGCCTCAAGTCATTTCACAAACTGAATTACCATTAAGGAATTTATGCATTTGTCACAGAAAATCCATGTCTGTATTCCCTCAATAAAAGCAAATGAAAAGTTTCAAAGCAGTAATGAAAACAGTGGAAAATTTATTTAAAACAAAACACTTTTATAAAACACTTTATTACAGTATTTTTCCCGTAGTAATAAAGAGCAAAAACCCAAGGCAAATTCATGCAGATATGCTTTTTGCAGTTGGACAACTTTTTTTCTTCCAGTTTCTGTTACGTTTGGATTGGTTTGCCTTACATGGATAATTTGCAGAGAAAAATATACCTTTTTATGTGCACATGCAAACCAAGATGACTGAATGCAAAGATCCACATAAAACCCCTCAACAACTAAGCATGAGTCCTGTTAGATCCAGGTGGTAAAGGAAGCAACTCAGAGGGAAGGCAAAGGCTACTCAATGTGATCTGCTCAGTGCATGTGCCTTTTTCCTTTCTGTTAGTCACTGTAAAGTTAGTAAAATTAGTAACTTCCCCTTGGTTTTCCATTTCTGCTGGAAATCTAGCCCACCTAAATTCTTCCTAGTATCACTTTGCTGTTTTCTTAAAGCTTGCTAGCCAAAGATTTATTAAACTCATTTGAAGAAACATAAAGTAAAATAGGACTCTGAGTTCACCACACTGAAAAAATCTCAACAAAAAGCTTTTGCATTTTGCCTAGCACTTTTCATTACATGAAATATTTGCCAGAAAATGACCCAGAAGTAAACTAGGATCTCTAACAATGTTTTGAATGCTTCCTTCCACTTTGAATTCTTGCAAAACACTTGGGAAAAGTGCTCATTCTTGTAAATACTTCAACCAGCTTTTTGCTAGCTTTACTCGTTAATTTAGAATGCCTTGTTTGGCATTGGGCAGCACTGAAAATCTAATTTCCCCATTTTTCAAATATTAACTCTTTTCATGAAAAATAAAGCATAGCAAAAGATTCTATTTTAAAAAGTTTAAAGAAAAAGGTCTAACTACAAAAACTCCCCAATTTTTCAGAAATAGAACAGTAAATATACAATGCTACAAAGAAAATCATAATATAACCACAGTGTAAATTACATGAACCATGTTATAGACATAGATGTTGCCTATCTCTTCTGAGATAATTTTAGTCCAGATTGTTTTAGTATCCACATCAAAGATCTTACAGGTGGATTCATGCACGGGACATGAAGAAAAGAATCCACATAGTTCTTTTCTAAAGTTCCTTATGTAATTCTTTCTACAATTTTTCTAAAAGTACTTATCCTCTGAAGGCCAATGTATCTTTGAGAAAAATTTGTCAAATACACATTAGTGGAGAAAACTTATTATAATGATCTATTTAACTAGCAACAGATTCAAATTACCCTATTGGAATGCAGTACCAATGTTAAACATTGCACACCTTGAAAGACATCAGTGGTTTTTACATGTAATATGAACATTTGAGTGAATGCCATGAACCAATTTGTCCAATTTATGAGAAATGTCTGATCAACATCTTATTCTATTTTTCTCTCATCTTGTATCTCATACAATATCTGAAAATCATTCAAGTCATCAGAATGTATTTTGGTATCAATTCTGAAGTAATTTTAGAGGCGTATTTCTTACTGCTTTGGAGGATTTGTGGAAATCCATTGCAAGAATGCATTTATCTTCACAGCCTTCCTATGAGGAACCTCAGTTTTATCTCTATATTTTATATATCAAGATTGTCAAAGAATAAGTCTCACTGAAAGTTATTAGGGGACCGCGGAACAGATCTCTCCATCAGAGCCCTAAAAGGCAACAAGAACAGTTGTATCATTTGATTCATTTTGAGGAGATAAGTTACAGACAAACATAGTGCTGGATACCTGAATCTTACGTAAAGAGAAAAGTACACAATCAGCTAGTTATGCGCTATTTAAACAAGAACTTTAAGACACCATACACAAAAAAACCCAGCCCCAAAAAACCCCAAAGCATATGAACTAACCGTAACTGGCTTCTTAGAAACTTAGGCAAAGTAGTTTCCCAAGAAATCGTGGAAGCGGAGTGAGCTGCCTTTGCCCTGCAGAGAGGATGGCTGGACAGTGCAATAGCTGCAACTGCTCTTGCCTTCTCTTTGCACCACTGGCCATAACAGCAACAGCCAGTGTGGCTTTCAGGGATACAGCCCAGAACCTTACTGTCTCTGGCAGTCTACTCTTCCAGGCAATCTTAACTAAGCCTGGAACTAGCAGAGCATTAAATGACACAGGTACATATTGTTTGTTCATTCCTAAACATGCACACACAGAGAATATATTTAAAACTATTCAGCTGAAGGCTGTACATTTCTGTAACAAGGTTTTGCTACTAAGCATAATGATGTTTTGTTTTCAATATATTTTTATTTTTCTCTGTAATTCAATTAATTTGTTGTTCTTTCCCTATGCTACATGTTTGCAGAACTGATAAATCAAATTTGGTAGTTGCAGGTCCAAATCAACAAAGAACGTGGGTTCAGAAACTGATGCAAAATTTATTATACCCCTCTGTTCACTGGTGTGAAGCAGGAGGCTCGAGAAAGAAACTCCAAGTAATGGCAACTAAAGTTCTGTTATTTACTCCTTTTGCCGAATATCTGCAAATGCTGTGTGATGTTCTTGCACTCCAAGTTCTCAAAGAGCTTTAGAAATTGATCTAGAACTTCATATCTGTCAACTGCTTTGATAACTCTCGTTGGAAATACTTTATGTTCAGTATTATCTAGCTTTATTAGTACTACCTGAATAAGTACTACCTGAATTTATGTTGCCCTTTTTCCTTAGCTAAAAAGTACTGAGCCCTTCTTTTCACTTACTTTATAAACACTAAGGTGTGCTATAAACCAGTGTTGCAATGGCTGAACAGGAATTAACATGTCCTCTTACACCTGTCTAGAATTTTGCTAAACCAAACAACTATTGTCAAGTTATTTGCCTTTGAATATAGGTCAAAGAAGGGATTGATTTTTTTTCTAATTCCTGGTGCAATACAACTAGCATCAAAATTATGGTTATATAATTTTTTTGAAATTATTTTACTGTTGGTTATGTTTTCTGCAAACTTCATATCTGCAATGATTTTCTTAAATTTCAAAATAAAAGAACTGGTGGAAATATTACCAAGCATAATATTGCATTCTTTAAATATATATGTATACATAAACTAGTCATATATTAACTAGACACCTCTTGTTAGTTTTCAAGCAAATATTAACAAAAAGCTAAATTATAGTTGAGATATTACAATTTCATATTTCATAATGAAACAGAGTTTTAATTATTTTTTTCTCTTCTATTTGTAACATGAAGTAATATCTGGTAAAATGAATATTTGACTAACGTTTAAAAACATACAGACATAGTATAAAATGACTGCACTTTCAATGGGAGCTGTATGTGTAAGTCTAACAAAATACAGTTTTGTAAGAAATTATAATAACACATTTCAAAATATCACCTTTTCTAGAAGGAAAATTAAGACAGAGAACTGCCCTTCCTTCAGAAGGATTGTGTAAATTTAGTTTTCTTCTCTCTAGGATGACAGTGTTGGCAAACAGAGTTTTCATCTTTATGCAAAATCTATTCTTTATGAAACTTTAAAACCACAAAATTTTAAAGGATTATCCATATGGGAAGATACTTACAGATCCTGTCACTCGAGAGGCACTCTGAAATTCATCAATAGCTTCTGTAAGTGTTTCAACTCCAGGCACTTGAGCTGTTCCAAAGAGGTAGAAGAGAAGTAAATCACTCTAATTAAGTAAGCATTAGTCACTTTGAAAATACAAAGCCCATAAATTTGCTGCTGGGAAGGTAAATGTGGCTACTGTAAATGCACTACTTTTCAGTTACTCTTCAATTAATTTTAATTTATTTCTCATTTGATCTCTGATTTTAATTTATAAGCTTAATGAAACATGGAACATGAGTAGAGTGATAAGCAAGCTTCCTTCAGCTGCCAAGGTGTTTTGTAGGTTCTTTACTATTAAAACTAAATACTCTTTGTCCTTTACACAAGTGAGTAGTGGTTCTTCAGCTTTATCAAAGTTGATAAAATTAGATTTAATTAATCATGTTAAAATAATTAGAATACAGTTAAAATCCTTGACGTTAAATGTCCTGGTCAATTTAGACAACATTTAAAAGCCATGCAAGCTATAATTTTTGCCCATACTGCCACATTTGTAACATGTCAGGATTTTGTGAAAAGTCTAGAATACCTATTTGATGCATTTGCAATGATTCAAAACAGTTTTATGTACCCACGTCAGAGAAAGCAATTTCTAAGTAACATGCTATGCAGTTTCCCTCTTTGCCTGACACTGCTAGACACTTAGATGTCTAGCAGCCCAGGAAAACAAGATGCCCTGATCTTCCCTAGGTTCTACTGTTATGCAGACACTCAGCAAGGAGGGCCTCATGTTTCCAGACCCTGATTTGTTAAACATCTCGGACTATACTTATTATGAAATCAGAACTATACTGAAGTACGGCAACTATGGTTACCACATTCATTGCAAAAACAAATAAAAGTGGAGGAAGAAGAGGTGATGATGATGCAAAGTTGAGGTCAGAGAGCTGTGCACAAACTGGGAGACGATGGCACATTTTTGCCATTGCATTATCTAGTTCTTAATCCTAGCTTCCACATATTTGCGTCCTTGATTTTTTACCCTGATCATGCAGTTCCATCTGGAATGACTCTATGTGTGTTTCATATGTTCGTATTTCTATTGAACATCCCCGATTTTGAACTATTTCTCTACATCCTAATGCCTGTTTTGAACTTTCTACTATATTTGCTTTAAAGGAAAAAAACAAAAACAAAACATAAAACCACTTCCAAAAAAACCCAGACAACAACAACAACAAATCAAATCAAAACAAAAACACCAACTATGTACAAGCTATACATTTAAGTTTTTTTAAAATTTCTACTGGCAAGTAATAAAAATCAGTGACTCCTGTTCAGTCGGGAATGACCTACTGATGTGAAATTTACTCTAGTAAAATTTTTTTAGTAAACTAAGTATTACATATCACAATATAATCTGTAGAGCTGTAGATCTAGTAGAACAACAGAATAGGAAATACCACATTTACACACTGGCACAGTACCATAGAATCTATCATTTTCAGTACAATTACATTATTCCAGGTAGTCACAAAAGAAACAAGGCTTTGCCCACACCTCAGAAATATGTGCAGTTGAACACTTTTTTCATGGCTAGGCTTCGCGAACGAAGATTTGGGAAGGGTTCTACCCACGTTTGTTGCAAGCAAGCTGGTGGCTAAAAAGGCCAATACGAGATAGGCATGTCTGGTTGCAAAAGGCACAGCAGAAAGACTCCGTAGGTGGTATATTCTGCAAGGCACGATTCTTTCTGAGTTGTCTTTTCTCCTCGAGAGTGATCCTGCGTGCTTTCTCAAAGGAAACAGCAGCGTTATAGATGGTGTGTCTCCAGGCCTCCCGATTGGAGGCCAGAGTAGACCAGTTATCTTTTCTTCAGGGCTCCTCTCTTGCAGCAGCCAGTGGCAAGTTCACCATAGAGCAAGATCTTAGGGAGGTGGTGGTCCTTCATCCTGGAGATGTGCCCTGACCAACGCAGCTGTGTTCTCAGTAACATGGCCTCAATACTTGTAACTGCTGTTTGTTCAAGAACAGATGTATTGGTCACATAATCTGACCAGTGGATGTTCAGGATTGTACGGAGACAGCGTTGATGGAAGCGTTCTAGAAGATGCAGGCGCTGGACTGATTTGAGTTCTGATTGGCCAATGGTGATATGGGGATGATGGAAGACTTCCTGAGGTGCAGGCTGATAGAGAACTTCTGTCTTCTTTAAGCTGACTTCCAGCCCAAAGAGCTCAGCAGTGTCTGCAAAGCAGGATGTTAAACGCTGCAGGGCTGCTTCTGTGTGGGCAACAAGAGTGGCGTCATCAGCATAGAGCAGCTTCCGGACAAGATGGTTTAAGGTCTTGGTGTGGGCCTTCAGTCGCCTTAGGTTGAATAGGCTTCCATCAGTACGATATCGAATGTAGATACCGTCCTGATCATCGAGGTCTGCCATGGCCCTTTGGAGCATCATGCTGAAAAAGACTGTGAAAAGGGTAGGAGCGAGAACGCAGCCTTGTTTCACACCATTCTTTATTACTGCAAAGAAAGTCATGAACACAGCTTTTCTTAGATAATTCGAGGAGTGGTTTCGAAGTGCTGTGCTTTTCATTTATCCTATTTTAAGAGATTACTCCCTAATAAGTCATTGCCTTTTAAGCTTCCTTCTACAAGAATGCATAGATTGCAAAAACTTTATTTGCAATAATGTCCTCTTTTCCTGCCTTATATCATGGCTTCATGCAGAGGGTAAGGCACTTTTCAGCAAGAGAGAATGAACATGTGAAACAAGTGAAACAAGGTCGTATGGTACTTATAGGAGATTGGGAGTAAATGAACAATTATCCTTTAGTGATACTATTTCTAAATATATATTAAAAAAACACAACCAAACCAAACAAAACAGAAACACAGTAGTTCAATGCTTCTACAATTCCCCCAACCTGAAAAACACACTGGGGGTTGACAGATATAGATTTTACTAGATAAATTCTGTTATAGTGTCTATCTTTTGAAGATTCAGACATTCTCCCCATCTACCTCTGTAGGAGAAGAGCAGGGCTCAGTGGAGGACTGACCCAAGAGACAAATCTGACAGGCTTGGTAGCTACAGGGGAAGTTTGCTGTGCAGTCACCAAAGCTGCGGCTTCTAATCAAAATCACGAACTTAGCTATTAAATTCTTCCCTTCATTTTTACCTGTGAAGTCTAATGGAAAAGAGAAACATTTTTGAGAGGTATAGTTTAGAACAGTGAAAAGAAAATGCAGCTTTAAAGAGTCTTGTATTCCTTGATCTTGAGACCTGGTTCCTATCTCTGATTTTTACTGCTTAGATCAAACATAACTCTGTCCAGTTCTGCAGGATTACACTCCAGGGAAGTTAGTACAGTGGTTAATTAGAAACAGACCCAGATTGACAGTGGAGTCAGTATAGTGTCTGATGCTGCACATGATCTTTTCACATAAGCTACTACATTGACTTTATTAAGTGGAATTGGTTCCCAAATCTTCGTTCGCGAAGCCTAGCCATGATGATGATTCAAGTGAGGCTTATTTATAAGGCCTGTTAGATCAGATGTGCTGCCAATTACTTCTGAACTTAGTTCATCTGAAGAGATGTACCAGACCTAACAACAATTTCCCACTAATCCAGAAACAGATAATTATCTAAAGAAAGCTACCCTCAACTTTGCTGTGCATCAGCACCTTGCCTGCATATTCTTGAACGAATGGTTTGCATCAGCACTTCCCAATGCATAGTTTTCTCTCACTATGGTCATTGGTACTGATAAGTAAAATAAATTCAAATAAACCTGGTAAGTGAAGCCTGTTATTCATTTTTTCATCATATAATACATCTGTAAGTGGACATAACTAAAAATTCAGTGCAACAATGCCTTGGTTACTTTGGTTTTTTTAATAATATCTTTATGAGTCTCTTTTATCATCTTCTCATACATATTTATTGGAAATAAATATCAGATGCACAGAGAGCAAGTAATGTGCTGCATTTATAGGAAAGATTGATAGAATGGGCAGTTGCCTGAGTTCTGTGCCTGTTTCTAGTCTGTGCCTACTTGTGAAATCCAGCTGTGTCTTTTTTCAAATCAAAATGTATTACTAGCAAACATTTTAGGAAAAAAACCAAAAACATAAGTTTTGAAATGCTGAACATTTCTGAGAGTGCTTCTTGACAGAAATTTGGCATTACCTTGCTGCTGACCTCAGTCTTTTTGCCTTAGAGGCTTTGCTGTCTTCCAGCTATATGATTAACAGGTTCATGTATATTCACGGACATCAGAAAGATATGTTTATAACAACATGAATGTCATTGCCCCATCTACCTATGTTACTCCCTACTCCTATAGGGAGTAAAAGTATACTTTTACTCCCCATATTTTATTGAAGGTGGGATTTTTTAGCGAAAGCCTTTTCCATCTTCTCTGTAGCCATACAGACTACAGCGGATTCAGAAACATATGAAGTGGCCCAAGTTACAACAGGTAGAGCACTTTTGTGCTCCAAACCCTGTGACCATGAAAGATTCAGTTTCAATATTACATGGCATCCAGAACCTTCTGGCAATTTCATCTTCTTTAATCCTGGTGGCTTTGCCTCTTAGCAACCAACTATTTTACTGAACTATTTTATTGAAGCCTACAATTTCCGAAGATGGCATGGCAAAGTGGACATATTTTCACTTCAAGAAAAGGATACACAGGAAGGAAAAAGGAAGGACGAGATCTGTTCAAAATAAATTATTTCATGAACTGTAGAACTTTTTCCTACATATATGTCTTACCCCTCTGATTTTACTGCAATAATCTCATGCTTGCGTATTCCCTTACCTATCCCTAACAAGCCACCACTACCTCCCTTCCTGGGAATTATTCTCATAACAGAAGAATTTTGCCTTCCTTTCAGAGGGCTTGAGTAAAATCACCAGTATAAGTATCTCTAGCTGACAATCTTCATGATGATTGTAAGGACATCATATTTTGAGATTCTGAGTCCCGTATTATTTTCTTTAATTAAGTGATCAATTGCAGATAAAAGGAAAAGTCAATGTCGTGACTGCATGAAACCATGCATTCTCACAAAACCAGTTTAAAAAATTTATCTCTAAAGACATACTAGTGACTAATGGTTGGTTTACAAATGAGGCAAGAGAAATGAGTGAAAGCTCAGGTTGCCCTAATACCTAATAGCACACATAGTAGCACTAAATAGCAGACAGTGGGATAATTAAAGAGTTAATTCTGATTTTCATTTTTTTGCATTAATTGATCAACATAGCTGACTTGTCTGTGGCTGCTGGAGACTATACCGAAATCAAGCCCTACAATTCATAGACTCAGCTGGTTCTGCCCACAAGTAAGAGAATGGACTGAAAGATTTATCTTTGCAGATTCTCTGTCCAAACCTCTATGCCTTTCTCTCTCTGTTCCAGTGACAGCTAAGATAAAGTTAACCTTCATTAACTTTATCTTTTGTAGGAAAGCTGGGCATTCTCTGGAAATTCCCTTAGGAATTGTCTTTTCCAGCATTTCAGGTGTTATTCTGTTCCAAATCCTGAGCAGAAATTGAAATGCTTGAGTGTCCTGACTGCAGATTAGTGTTTGTATGTGGAGAAAAAACATTCTTCAGAACTACTGTATAAACTCTTTATTTTTGCTGTGTATTGAGCCATGTGGGTGCATGTGTGGTATTATACTAAATATTTCAAAGACCATTCTCTGGCGTAGAAGCCAACTGGCAATGAACAGCCCACGTCTATGCTATTAAGTTGTTTTACATCCGAAATAGTATGCTAACATACGAACTGCCGACTAAGAACAAATTCTGGCCCAGGGTACCTCTCAAAATATGGCCAAGAATTATTCTGGAGTGCTAATTGCCCACGACAAAAATCACGTTAGTGGCTCTTCAAACAGATTTCAAGCGTAAATGATTGAGTTCAAACACCAGGAACCCTCTCTGGAAGTGTTTAAACTTTTACAGACATAACCTCTACTCGTAAATTCAAGATGTTGGTGTTCAGGGGTTTTTTATGAGCAGCAAATATTTATATGACTTACCATCAGAGTCTGACACTGCTGGCTCAGATGCCTGAGATACCATGGAGACATCTTCTGGCCCTTCTGCCAAATTATCCCCTTGCAATCTAAATGGTGGGAAAATGCAATGAAAACATTTGCAATCATATTGCATGGATAAGGCACAGAAGACCATTATCCCTGACTGCATACTGTACTCACAACATTGTCCTACTTAAAAGGGCAGCTTTGCTGAAAAGCCCACACCCATGGTTCATTCATGACATTCCAGACTGTCTAGTAACCAAAACTAGCCTCCAAGAAACTCATAGCCAACTGAATCCTAGCTCATGTATTTTTGTAAGTCTTTTAACAAAAGTAGAGGTTTGGTGGTATCGTGTGCACATGAAACTGCAAGCTTCCTTCACTACCTTAAAATATATTTTAATTGAACAGGATTGTACTGGATGTCCATGTAAAGGTGTTGGCAGTGGGGGGGCTGCAGGAGTGGCCTTGGTAAGGAGAGGCCGGGGCTGTCCTGAACCAGATACAGGTGGTTCCATCTGGCTCCAAAAGAACCACAGCAGAGCATGGCTGAGCCCTTCAGTCAAAATGGTGGCAACTTGGAGAAAACAGAGTTAAAGAGCAAACAATGCCACACCGGCAGAAGAGCAGCAGAGGGAACACAAAGGTCAGAGGAGGAGGTGCTCCACACTCCAGAGCAGGTACTCCCCTGCCGCTCATGGTGAGATGCACGTGAGAGCCAACATCCACTGCAGCCTGTGGAGGACCCACACCAGGGCAGGGGAATATGCCCTGGAGGGACTGTGGCCCATGGAGAACCCACAATAGAGCAGGTTTTTTTACTGAAGGACTGCAGCCAGTGGGAAGAGCCCACACTGCAGCAGGTGAAAAGTGTGATGAGGAAGGAAGAACAGAGAGGATCCAAAACGGACTGACCACAACCTCGCATTTCCTGTCTCCCCTGCACTGCTCAGGGGGTGGGGAGAGGAGTCTGGATTGAAGGAGTGAAGCTGGGCCCAGGAAAAGGAGGAGGAAAGGTGTGGTTTTAAAGTCTGTCTTTTAGTTTTTTACTACTCCAAACTATTTTAATTGTTAATAAATTAACAATTGTTAATTGTTAATAAATTAAACTAATTTTCCCCAAGTCAAGTCTGTTTCACCCTACCCAACTGGTAGGCAATTTCCCTGTCTTTATTTAACTCACAAATTTTTACTTCCTATTTTCTCCTGCCATCCTCCTGGCTAGGTAGAGAGCTGGTTCTTAGCCAAGGTTAACCCACCAAAGGGAAATGCGTGCAAGAATATTTCCTCTTCCTTTTTTAATTTTTAAAAAGAAAATACAGTAACTGTAATGCCTTGATAGCAATTTAGAAAAATAATGCTTGTATCTGTTCTTTTAAATGACCATCCCAAGAGTCCCATCATCCTTCTACAGGCTCTTATGAATCCTGAGTACAGATTCTGCTCTGAAGAAATGGTTTGTAGCTCTTAATACAATATAACCACCATTTACATAAAGGTTATCTTACCTTGGATTTATTTAGACATGAAAAGAATATGAAAAATGCAATTCAATTTTGCAAAGCCCAGGAATCATAAAAATGCATTGAAGTAAAACCTTGGGGAAAGAAATAACTTATAGCTTGAAAAAAAATGTTCTTTTCACTCTATATTCTTACTCTCTGCAGCTGCTTTACACTAAGCTTTGAATTAACCTTTGAAGCCAAACAGAACCCCCGTATCTGCCCTATCTGAATTTCATATTTTATGACTGTCATAGTTATCTAATATATTTGGACCTTAAGTCATTTGTTCGTACTTCTCAAAATGATTTTCCCTCACCCCTCAATTACTTTATATTCTTATATTACCCCTACAATGGTTTATTTATGATGGAAAGCTCAATGTAAATTCATAATGTTTCTTACCTAAGGAGGCAGTTCCATAGAACACAAAACTCCTCAAGGCAACAAACTACAGAACTTAGAAGCTGTGAACCTAATTTTGAAAATTACTTCTATGAATCCTTTACAGTTGTATACCTGGTTTCTAATGCTATAGTTGCCAATTCTTTAAAAGCCTACCTTTTCAAACAGGCTCTTCTAAAGATGACAGTCAAACAGAAGCAAATAACTTTGTATGATTATCATAAAGATATTCAAATAGTGAGAAAACAAATTGCAAATTTGAAATAACTATGCAAAAAAAGGAAGATCTCAAAAATCACATAATTTTCCTTTGCAATAAAATTTACCTGTCCTCCTTCATTACATACATACACATTTACTACAAGAACATATTCAAGCTTATAAGGATATGCACAGAATTGCGGGAACCAGAAGTGAGGTACTCTTCTCTGCAGCCTTGTTGGTAGTTTACTTATGCTTAATGAAAAGGAAAATTACTCCAACGTTCTCTGCTTATATTGCATTCATATAAAAACCACCTCTAGAAGTAGGAACTGCTTCTTTTATCCCATCAGAATTTTCAAGATTTTACGATATGTTCCCATTCTGAGCTTCCATAAATCCAACCCACACATGAACAACTGAAATTATCCTCATCTTATTTTAAAATTTACATAAATTTAAGTGGTCCACTGCCTCATGACGAACACGCAAAAAAATCTTTTCAATGTATTCAGAAAATCTATTCCACATTATTTCCCTTTGCAGGAAGAAATGGCTGGGGTTAAATGGACAGGTGAATTAAATGTGGGACATATTTGGACCTCATTTTCACATTCAATTTTCAACTTATTTATGTATTTCTTACATATAGATTCATATTAGAACAGATTCTCATGTGACTCAAGCAACAAAAATGTCACAAACACTATTTCTTGCCAAAAGAATTCTGTTACTTGGATGATTCCAATTTCTTCTTCAATAGTAATATTATTCATAAGATACCTCCACAGTAAAACAAAAACACTTAAAAAATCTTAAGGAGAGAGAAGCATAGATTAGAAAGAAGCATAGGTCTAGAAGAGTTACCTAAAAACTACTATCTTACTAACACTTCATGAACTACTTCAGCTATTAACCAAAACATATTTCAGCTATTGACTGTTTTAATGGGAGTCTAAACTTGATACCTGGTAGCCAACATTTTTTTCCATACACATTCTGTTTCTAGTGTGATCTCCTGCTCAGAGGCCATTGTTTCAGTTACATTAACCAGCTGCATGTTGGAGGTTTAAGAGCTACAAAGGCAAACAGCCTCCAGGTAAATATGCCAATTTTCTTTGACTGCAAAATGCATTCTGTAGGACTTGTTCCAAGAAAACTGTGAAGGACTTCAGGACCAAAGACATTCTAAATAAACTCTACAGGATTGGTGTGGCAGCATTATACCAGGTCTATCATTACAAACAAGCTTGTGGGTGCGTGAATCACAGTCATACCCCCAGTATGATTTAGAATATGATTCACAGATTCACAGAATGGGTCAGGTAGGAAGGGACCCCAACCTCTCTGCTTAAGCAGGGTCATCCCAAAGCACATTGCACAGAATTGTGTCTAAATGGTTCTTGAAAATCTCCATTGCGGAAGAGTCCAAAACCTCTCTGGGCAATCTGTTCTAGTGCACAGTAAAAAAGTTCTTCATATTCAGGTGGAACTTCCTGTGCCACAGTTTCTGCCTGTCACCTCTTGTGCTATTGCTTGGCATCACCAGGAAGAGGCCTGGCTCCATCCTCCTGACACCGTCCCTTCAGACACTTGTATTACATTGATGAGATTCACCTCTCAGTCATCTCTTCTTGAGACTGAACAGACCCAGCTCCCTCAGCCTTTCCTCATAAGAGAGATGTTCCAGTCCCTTAATCATCTTTGTAGCCCTCCACTGGGCCTGCTCTAGGAGCTCCAAGACTCTAGTACTGAGGAGCCCAGAATTGAACATGGCACTCCAGACGTGGCCTCTCCAGGGCCGAGTAGAGGGGCAGGATCACTTCCCTCGACCTGCTGTCAATGCTCTTCCTAATACATCCCAGAATACCATTGGCCTTCTTGGCCACAAGGGCACACTGCTGGCTCATGGACAGCTTGTTGTCCACCAGGAGCCCCAGGTCCTTCTCTGCAAAGCTGCTTTACAGCAGGTCAGCCAGCAACCTGTAGAGGTGCATGGGGTTATTCCTTCCTCAGGTACAGGACCCTGCCTTTGCCTTTGTTGAATTTCAGACAGTTCCTCTTCTTAAGGTCGTTCTTAAGGGCTGCACATCCCTCTGGGCTATCGGCCACTCCTCCCAGCTTTGTGTCATCAGCAAACCTGCTGGGGAGGCACTCTGCTGCTTCATCCATGATACCATAAGAATATGCAAAAAGAGGACAATACTACTTCTACATTCCTTGAATGAGTCACAGCATAATAAAATCCTATACTGTCTCGCAAGGGCAAGACAACAGCAAATAGAAAAACAGAGTCAAGATTCAAATGATAGATTTTTTTTCATGTTAAGCACATTGCTGAATTCAATCATTTAGGCTGTTTATGTTTCTTAAAACACAGACTGTTGGACATCAAGGTGAGCATACTGCAACTTGATATTTCAATAGGAGTCACCTATACTGCCAGACGAAAAAATGCTTGACCCATTTGAAAAGAAAATAGATGTTGACAATCAATATCCACAATCCAGTTGAATTCACTGCTCTTCTTTACTGTAATCAGCTACATGGAATACTTCCCCATTCTTTTTGTGTGACAGAACTAGTGGTTTTCTTTTCAAAGCTCTCTGATACCTATCAATATCCAATGAGCTATTAAAAGGACAGTTTCTTGATATTATGGTAATTGCTGCTTTAGAAAGATGACAAATTGATGACTCCACTTAGAAACTAAAAAGAGGTAAGATGATCCTACAAAACAATTCCTTACATGAATCCAAAATCCATCTAATAGCATCCTAAACGAACTAATTATAATGGGTACCTAATGAAGTGTGGGGATAGTGGGGATGGAAGGAGAGAGGAAAGCATGAGTAGGTGTGATTTCTCCACTTGTACCATTCTTAAAACAATGTAGTAGCCCTCATACAGCTGTGGAATTCCTAGACAATATGACATTGGAATTAAACTATATCTTGGGGGAAAAATAACAGGGA